ATGATAAAAATCACAATATTTTGTTGGCACTGTGGAGTGCTTGAAGAAATGTGCATAGAAATGTAGCACTGCCAGTGCTGACACCTGTCAGGCAGTGTCCTGGACGCCAGATTCCTAATGCCTCAAATCTTTTTCCTATGGGAATAAGAGAATAGTCATTTTCCCCCCGCAGGTAGATACAGATGCAGCAGAGCAGTCTTTCAGTAGCCACCTGAATGTGAGATTTATCAGAGTTATAATGAAGTAAGAGGAAGTGACCTGCTCTGTGGCTGCAGATGGGACAGAGTATAGGGGCCAGCAAGAGAGGCAGTGAGCTGAGAAGAAGTATTGCTGGAACTTGCTGTGGGTGTTGGAGACAGTTGCTTGTAAAACCGGGAGGAGTTTAAGGCAGCAGGATGAGGACTTTAGGAGAAACAAGATCTGAGTTGGGGGTGAGGCACAGGGGCCTTGAGGGCAAAAATATTTCAGAGGGACAGGAGAAAGTGAAAGCTTGAATCAAAGCAGCTGAAAGATTGGCTTTAATATCTGCTTAGATCAAAAATAAAAGTCTGTACAGATCAAGAGATAATCCACTAGATACATTTAATCTGCCACATGTATTACTTCCCCAAAGAAAAGCATTGGGAGGGGAAGGTTGATTTGGCTCAGTGCTCAGATTTGAAGGTAGGTGATACTTTCTCCTCTCTTCCACAGGCCCCTTTTCGCTTGTCCTGCACCTGGTTCTGATGAAAGGGAGGGGCTGTCACTGGAGCCTCCTGCTTCTTTGCAGCTCGAGTCACATTGAATCTAACTAAAGGTGTTTCTCAAGCAGAAAAGAGCACCAAGAGCAAAATAACACGGCAGTGACTAATAAGATAAGTATGCGGTAGGTTCAGATGGTGGTTTTGGCTGAGTGAAGGGTTCTGAGGGGCAGTATTGGACCATTTTATTAACACTGAGCCCTCCTGTCCTGATTGCAATTGCCTTTCAAACAAACACCGCTCAGTAACACAGTCCTCTTTAAATGGAGGCCGAGGTCTGAATGCCACCTTGTTTCAAGCATTTTGTCCATTAAATCCCTGGCAACATCTCTCCATCCTTGCCTGTTTCCTTTTTTTACAAACACCATTTGACTCCTTTCAGTTTCCACAGCAGTAGAAATACTAAAGTTGCTGGAGGACAATTGAACATGAAGGCTTTTTTTCCATGTATTTTTTCAGTATCAATATGGTATGTTGTTGCTTTTAACTAACACATGCAGCTGCATCTTAAACTGTACATGCATAACAGTCATGCACTTCTAGGAGCTTGTACATGTGATGGAATTTGGATTAGTTGGATTGAGGGGGTTTAATTTTTTTTTCAAAGTTACCTTGTTCAGCAACAAATACATTAATTCTGTGGACTGATGTGTATTCTTTCTGTGTTGTGGGCCTGAATCTGTACCACCTCAGGTGAAGGTTTTTGGCAGATCTTCTAAGGTCAGTAGGATTTGGCCTGTCAAATCCTAGAGTAGGAGATCACAGGAGAAAGTACAGAGTGCTTCAGAGAAGAGTCATCATGGTTTGAGACACCTGAGCTGGTACTGGACAACTTCCCCAGCTTGTGCTGGTAGTGGGCTGTGTGCTTGATTCTGCCCTTTTACTGGTTCTATTTGGTCGGCAGTAGGGATGGGTGAAGCTGTGGATATCTTCCCTCTTTCCTTCTGGATGCATCATTACTGTTGCAGCTAGGGCACAGTAATTGCCAGTCATGTCCTGGTTTTAGGATTGCATCCTTTTTCAAGAGAGGTTCCAGCAAACCTTAAATGAGAAAAGTGTGTGCAGTGCAGTGGGCTGAGAGGTGCTGTGCTCTCTGTTCTTCCCCTGATGTTGTCTGTGAGTACTCTGACACCATGAGGCCCTTTGTAATAGCCAAAGCACTACCTGTGTTTGCTGGGGATGTGAACAGAGTTGTGACACCATTCCTGCCCTACATGGGTGTCTTAGAGGATGACAGTTAAATATGGGAGGGGTTAAGGGGGAAAGGTAAGTATAACTGGGATTCCTCAATAAGTCCTTTGCTTCTTCACAGCTAGCAAAAGACTGAGGGAAGGGAGAGGAAGAGGCTGATACCAGATGAAGCAATGGGGCTAATGTGGGACAGGAAGGAGAGTGAGGGAGGTGTTTGACTGCCTCAATTGACCCACTCACATTTATGGAACAGTAGGGAGAAGAATGCATACTGGTTTCCAGTCCTGAGCTTGCATAACTATTTGCTTAACACTTCTTTTTGGGAGAGAAATATGTGCCTTGTCAGGACCTGAGAATTGTGTCTGGGAGTCAGCAGGATACTGGCTAAAAGGCATTTGATACCTTGCTTTTATTTGGAGCTTCAGGAAAGCTTTCTTGAGTCCTAGGAGAGAGGTCTGCTCACAAGTGAGAGAGAAAATTGCATCATTGATTTGAGGGAGGGCAGCAAAGCAGAAATAAATGACTGGGTTTTGTTAGCTTTGAAGGAAGTAAAAATAGTCAGATGCCTCCAGGAGCAGTACTGGAAATAGTACTAATCAATACAATTACACAACTTCTAGAAAAGAGGTGAACTGT